TTACGTGTGACTATCTTCATTAAAAATTATAATATACCCTAAGTTGGCAAAAAACAACAACAACTAGGCTATAGCGCTAATGGCACGACAGAAAGCTTATCAAGTTCTCCGCATCTCCAATAGTGTAAAGGAAGCCACTCGCAAATAATTTTTGGGCAATGCAAACATTTTGTGCTGTTGTTGAAGCCTGACATCGAATCGAACATTAATGTGCATTTACAACAAAATAATCATGTATTTAAACGACACCCTCACGACAATCGTTTCACAAGAAAGAAAAAAAAATCTCAGAAATTAGGCTACACTATCGCGCTGCGCTAAAGGACTTCCTGTATCAGCCGCAATCTAATCCTGTTTACATGAAATAAGCCTGCTCGCGAGCATGTTCAAGCTGACGGACCTGTTTCTATGACAGCAAGTCCAGGATGAGCGTCGAAGAACCAAGCGATCCAAGATCATGGCAACGTACGCGTTAGCGACGTACGAAGAACGAGCCCCTGGTTACAACCTCCAGCAACTCCTCTTTTTTTTTCCTAATGGGAATATGGTGAACCTGTGTTGAGAATATCTAACTCCTCAGAACCAGATAAATCAAACACTGGGTCTTTAACATGGTCAGAAGAAGCTGCAGCGCGGGCTTCCGAACCGTGCGCGAGACCAGTGGAGCTGGTAAATAAACACTGAGAAAGGGTCGTAACCGTCTCAGTATGCCAGCCCCACGTGCGAATCCCATGAATGCAAGCGGCGCGCTGCTTCGACAGCCGGGAGACCTGATGTACTGGAAACGTGATTCTGATCTATTTGATTAAACAGGCTTAAATGCGAGCGAAGCTCTTTTATATAAAAAAAAAACAGTTAGCATCCTCGAGCGCTGCCTGTGCATGCTCCGCTCCCAGACGAACTACACTGACTGAATAGTTTCTCCTTATTATTCACCATGATATATAAAAGGCATTTCCCAATGTGTCGATTCTCGAAGCAGCAAGAATTCCCTCGAAGGGGAACCCCAATTTCAGTGAATAACTCCCAATCGATGGAGTATTCCTTTAATGGTCACCATTGTTGAGATTCATTTACTGATTCTTGATGTCAGTGTAAGTCAGCATGATACCATAGAGTTGTTGTTTTTATCTGACTGTAACAACAATGGGCCTTGCAGCAGAATCACATTTCTTTAATAATGAATAATACAAGTTATATATTACCTGTTTAATCAGAGATTATTCTCTAGAAACGATCAGGGAATCAAGACACCAAATGATGATTCATCATTCCATAAATCATCATCAAAACACAACCACGTGCTCAAATTTTATTTTGGCTTTTGTGCCGTAACAAATGTGTTATATAAATATTCCGTTACAGCAGCCAGAGGAAAAACTGGTGTTATGAAGTACAGGGTCAAGAGCCCAGCTAAGGCAAACACTGACCACTATCATGTGTTAAATGAAACTCAATAAATCATCTTCATCTAAATCTGTTCATTCACAATAACAACTTCTGTAGACGGATGATAGTAGTCGAACTGGTTAGTAATAAGTGAAGCTGGTAATGCTGTTTGTGGAGTTGTTCAATCCTCCTCTGCTGAGATCTTGAGAGATTTAAACATATTTTATCTTCAGTTGATTTCATCAAATGTTGTGGTTGGAACGTCAGTTATGGTTCTTGTGTTTCTCTTTCCTTCAGTGATGTTAACAGCAAGTGTTCATCACTAATGCTCAAAAAAATTTCTTGACTGCAATATCTACTTTTAGTGAACTCCACTTAAAAATCATTTCAGAGTACTCATAACTATTGCTTTTTATAAAGTTAAAGTGTGTATGTCAGGTTAAATTTGTAATTATGATTAACACAAAATAGTTAGGGGAAAAACACGTTTGTCAAGTTGGTGTATTGTTTTGTATGTTTTTCGATACCTAAAGGCAGAATATAAGATGAAAAAGTTCGTTATTTTCAGTACTCACTTAAAACTGCTCCTCCCCCCAATCGAATCACTGATGTCATAAGAGGGAGACGTCTCCCCAGGTCGCTGAGAGTGAGTCAGTGAGCTGTGTTGGTAATTGTACGAATGATAGAGCGAGAGAATTATTTGATTAGGACATTTATTTATTTAGTTATTTAAGTTAGGTAGTTAGTTAGGTATACGCAGAAAACAGGTTTGCCAACCGCAATTAAACCCTAAAGAAGAAGAAGAAAAAGAAGAAATGTATATATGCAGGCGTATTATCACGATGGTGAATTACTGCGTTTGTACTGGGTGCAAAAACACCGTTAAAACCGGTCACAGAGTCCACTTTTTGATGACAGCCGCGAGACTAGCTCTCAGAATATCAGCACTTCGGCAAACCTGACTGTGGCGAGGGGGCGTGAGTCTGTAGCGGCTGCGGGAGAGAAAGGACGGAGCCGCACGGTGAGATTAGTAGATCAAGTGCAGATGATGAACACCTGAGTTTGATTGCAGTAATTTTCCGTGGAGAGACCGTATATAACCGGCGAATGAGAGAGCGAGAGAGAGTTGGACTGGGACTTCACGCGGCTACTGCAACCGAGACTGAGAAGCAAGTGTTGAATCGCGTGTTTGTTTATGGTGGCGAATGCGCTACTGTGCGCCTTGTTTCTTTTTTGTTTTTTCTGAATAAACGAGTCCCAGTCACGCCGACCCTAGGCGTTTCTCAATGTCAAGGAAGGATCCTCGGAAGCCGGAATTTCAAGGATGCTACGTCATCGACGTCCGTCGAAGGACTGTTCCAATGTCGAGGATCCTCAGAATTTCAACCAAGGACTGAGTCCTTCGTTCGGAAAATATCCCATACACAGGAAAGGATGCATATGTGTAGCCTTCGTGCTCTTAAATCACCCACAATCCTATGCGCAGCTTTGCTATCTTGTTCAAAAACTAAAAAATGTCGACCGTTAGCGGAGTGATAACGGCAATATGCTTTCAAATGTAAGCAAGTATAATTTCAGTTTAGCCATTTATTTAATGTTTGTTAAACTATTTTAACATATCGGCTCAAATTTGCTGAGGGGATTTAAAGCTGTTCCCTTTTACTGGTGATTAACTTTTTAATTTTTACTTCATAGCCTTTTCTGTTGGTCACATATTTTACAATTGCATGTTTTAACAGCTAGATCATGTTGCTATGGAGGTAGTTCTGTTCACTCCGGTAATATAATCGTTTTTGAATGAATAAACTCCCTTTTAAATCAATATTTTGTGTCAAATTATTGATTTATTTGGTAGGTAGCCATGTTATAAGTGGGAAAATGTATAGCGAGGCGGTTGTTACAGCGAATACAACCGGCTGATCAAGACCCCTCTTTATTAGAGTTTGCGGGTTGTATTCACTATAACAACCGCCTGGTTATACATTATCCCTTTATTTATTTATTTCTATGAGGACTGACAAGACAAAATAAGGACTGTCAAGTGTATTTAATCAGTGCAGTACACCAGCACTATGATTTTTGCAGCGCCGAAGCGGACCTTTCACTGATGTAATGACGCAATGATGTGCACTTGCTAGCCTGTTCCATTTACGTGTTCTCCGAACGCTAAAGAGGACCCTTGCCTAGCCTCTGAAGGAAATGACTTGGAAGGACCCGTCCTGCCAAGGAAGTATCCTTGACATTGAGAAACACCCCCTGTCTTCTTTCCACATACTGAACCTCTCCACACTGACCTATTCTGATAGGCTACCGCACATCTCTACCACGTATCTAACAGTAACGTAATTCCGCATTAATTAATTTGCACGCGAGTTTTATTTATTTTAACCCTGTATTCTCCGTGTAAATTCATGCACCGAACCGTGACGGCCGTACGTTTCGGTTCAATACGAATACATGTACCGTTCCACCTCTAAGTTATGCCTATACTTACCAAGACACCTGACCAACTCTCCACTGGTTCTCTTCACACCAGATATTTATGTTTCTTCGATAGGAATTATTTAAATTTCTGTTTGGTTCCTCATCTGTCTCACGCCTGGGAGGCTCAAAATTGTAAGGTTGTGGCCCATCGGAGGTTTGAGGGGGATTTTGGATCTCCTCAGACTCAAAACTCTCCATACTTGAATAGAACGTTTTTGTCACATCTCCCTCTTATGACATCACATGCAGCTCCACTGTGTTTTAAAAATATGATCTTGACAGAAATGGCTATAAAGCTTAATGTAGGGCAATTACAGTAATAATTTTAATGATAATTACATTTTCACTCATACATCTAAACATTATTTAATATATCTAAAAAAAAATTTTAACCTGACATACACACTTTAAATGAATTAAGGAAATCGGTTTCCTCAACTGAAATGAGTTAGCCTAACTCATTGGATTTGACTGTGTGTGATATTGTTAGCAGTAACTGCAAGTGCTCTGAGTTCATTTAAAGTTTGTCATTTCACTGTTTTTACTCAATAAAGTGTAGTTTCAGCTATATACAGTATTAAACACAATATAAAGTTTGTGTTTTAAGAAATATTATTGTTTTAGTGAACTCATTAAAATAACTTCAGTGTACTCATTACTATTGTTTTTTATAAACTTAAATTAATTGAGGCATTTGGTTTCCTCAAATGTAATGGGTTTTAAAGCGAGTGCTTGTTCACAGCAGGTGTTTGAATGATTGAAAGAATGTTTCAGAAACGTCATACTAACCTTTAAATAACAATCTATTAATATTCAGGGTACTGGACATTTTTTCATGTTCTTGGAATGTTACAAATCAACTTTCCTATGTTGGTAAGTGTTAATCAAAATTAAGTTGAAAACACGTTTGAGGAACACCATAGCTTCTAAAACACGTTCCTCTAACGTCAAGAAAACCAGACACATTTATTTCCATGAGCTTGAATTCAAAATTCTATTTTAAACGTTTACAATGAAAATTTCTTGCCGATCAGATGGGGAATAACTTTTATGTCTCTGGATTTTTGTACTAGCTACATGCTAAACAACTGAAAAAAATATTAACAATAAAAACTACAGTAACTTAATTAGCACAGCCAAAGGTTTTTATTATATATTGTGCAAACACTGCAAAACAACCATAACATGCACATACTTCAATACTGAAACCAAAGATGATTTTCCCAACATCAATGGGTACATCAATACTGATTAAACTGATATCTGTTTCTGCCCACAGAAGAATAGTAAAATGCAACATATGAATTACCATACAGTAAGTGCTCCTCGATGTGACCAGCGGTTCAGTGTCTTGCTCAAAGGCACAATGGTGAGAAGATTTGTCTCTTAGTAAATCCCACACTTTTAATTACACCTACCGACTTTTACTGTACACATTCGGATATCATGTAAAAACACTATAAGGCAAATTGCTTGCATGAGGCTGGTCTATCATTGTGTGTTTTTTACAGTGGAAATCTAAAGATTTGAGATAATCAAAGTATATTTACACTTTCATTGTTCAACCCCTAAAACAAGCCACATGACTTCCAGATAAAACAGATATTCATCAGTGTTTGTAATGTTCTTTTAGGGCGTACTGTGCCCGTCACCCTAAAATATGGCAGTGTTGCAACAGGTATTTGATGACGGATGTTTTCAATGCCCAGTGTTTTTTAAGAGATTGTTATCATGTGCATCTCCTGTAACTCAAAGTATGTGATTGGTGTCCTTTGAAAAGACATGCTTATTCATTTTTAACAGTTTTAAAAATACTTCAAACATTTGCATATTGTCAGTAGTATACTCACTATCTGAAGCAGACAACAGCCCACCAGTTACAGAGACTTCCTCCGCACGCCTGGCAGCTCTTTGAAGCTGAGTCCAGGAGAAAGTGTGCTGCCTGGAGAGGAAACAACTGTATTGTTCCTGGTTGAGGAGTTCCCTTGTATCCTGTAGGAAACAGAGTTGTAGTACACCGAGTTAATGTTGCACTCAGCACACTTGTTTTGGGACGGGGTCGGACTGTTGCAGAAGCCCAAGTGATAGCAAACGCAGGTACACAGCAGGCTCAGTTGAGACCGAGAGCGGCGCTGGTTTGCGTGTAGCGGCAGGGGCGAGTACAGCTCGCGCTCCTCGGCCGGCGACAGGATGAGGTTGGTGCAGCTGGTGCCCTCCTCCATGGGCAAGAAGAGGTTGCTATGGCAGTGATTATCCCGCCCAGATTTCATGGCTGTGAGGTTACGACCCCTCTTCAGTGAGGCTCGTTCCTGAGCGTCCCGCTTCTCATCCTCGCTGTTCATAGTGAGGAACCTCAACACCACCAAGTTGAGGAACGCGCCGATCACCGTCAAGCCCACAAGGATGTACATGAAACTAAAGACCACATAAGGTGTCTTTTCTTGAAGGTCCTCCTTCTTCTGAAGAGCCACGAAGTCCCCAAAGCCGATGGTGGTGAGAGTGATGAAACAGTAGTAGTACGCGTGGAAGAACGTCCAGCCCTCGAAGTGCGAGAAGGCAGCGGCTCCCACGCACAGAGTTCCCAGGCAAGACAAGAAACCCACCAAAACCATGTTTTCCATGGAAATCTCTGTGCGATGAAGCCCGAGGCATCTCTTGACGCGGCTGAGGAGGTAGCGGACGAACGTGTTCATCCTCTCACCCAGACTCTGGAACATCACCAGTGTCAGAGGGATGCCCAGAACGGCATAGAACATGCAGAAGACCTTCCCTGCGTCGGTGCCGGGGGCGGCGTGGCCGTAACCTGCAGGAAAACAGTGCCAACATCTCAGTCGGACCGGAGGACTGCGGCACACACATGCTTGTGTCAAGATTTATTACACTTTATTTTCTAGTGTTCTTGTTACCATGTAATTCGGTAAATAAGTAGCAATTTGTACAGTAATACTGTCATTTTTGCAGGAAATTTTAAAATAACATCCTAAAATGTGCGTCTCTATAACACGCATCGTGTATTGTCGTGTAATTTATATACGAAAATGAGTTTTCACGTGCATTTGATACGCAGTTCATTTGTGTGTGATACACACGCACCCCACACCACTAATCCTACCCAAACGTATAATACACACCCACCCACCCCACCCCACACCTAAACCTACCCTAACCAACCAATGCGTATCATATGCACGTAAAAACTCACTTTGACGTTTAAATTACACAACAAGAAATAATGTGTGTGTGTGTGTGAGAGAGAGAGAGAGAGAGAGAGAGAGGGAGAAATAGTGTGTGTGTGTTCACTGCTCACTATTCTAATGCGTTCCGAGTGTGGGTTATATAATACTTCGCCTTCACATCACTTATCTACACTGCAAAATCGAATTAGTCTAAAAAAAGCATGCAAACCAAGTCAGTTTATGTGATGTTCTCTCAATTATTTTAGTTGTATTGACAATTTATCAATCAAGATGACTTTGGAAAATGAGTGAATGCAAACAGAGAAAAAATATCTGCATGAATGAAAAGTCCATTAGGAATTTTCCCGCCTCAAAAAGAGCACTCAAACCAATCAGTTCATCCTAACTTAAATTTTCTGACCGGTGTGTGAATAAAACAGATTTCTAGATTTTGACAATAAAGTTAAGACATTAAGTAACTAAAAAGTGTTAGTTATAATCACTGCTGGATTTTACAGAGAGGATCTTTAATATGCATATGAAATTTCAGTTTTCTTTACACCTGTTGTTTATTTACAGTCGTACAGGCAACCAAAATCGCCAGTAAAGCACTGTACATTTCAAAGAGTGTTCTGATTTATGTTAATTATTAATCTAGGGTTAGATTTTGGTTTAGGGTTGGTCTGTAATTATAATTTACAGCCATTCGTGCATGTTACAAATATTGTACACTTTATTGGTAAGAGGAAAACCCCTTGAGATGTGGCATCTCGTTTTCGAGGGGACCTAAAAAAAAAAAAATGTAACAAGGACACGAATAGTGTTATAGAAAGTTTTATAATTTTAGGTTACATTCTTAAAATAAAGTTGTTGTTGTTTTGGTCTGAGCTTATCTTAAAATAACAATTTTCTAGTGTGACGTACAAAAAGAAACCTTTCCTCTTTTGTGCAAGATGTTAAAGCTTCTTCATGGAACCATCAATGCCAATAAAGAACCTTTATTTTTAAGTGTGTATGCGTTCGTTAGTAATTCAAATGCTATATTCGTAATGCTTTTTAGCAACTAGGCTATGTAGATTTAATGCGCATGCAAACAAAGGCTGAAACTCACCTATCGTGGTGATGACAGTTATGGCAAAGTAAAAAGATCCAGCGAATTTCCACTGTCTGCCGGCGCGATGGGGCTCCGCCTGCAGCACTACCCGCTCGATCTCCCGATAGTCTTCCTCAGTGAAGCGATACTTCCTCTTCATGTCGCTGCGCTTCTGCTCCAGGAAGCGTTTCCGCGCGCTCTCGGTCTCGGACTCCAACGCGTCGAAGACCGCGGCGCCCACCAGCAGGTACGAGAACATGCAGAGGATGAGCGAGAGCGTGCGCACGTTCTGCTTCTTCATCTTCATCTTCAGATGAGCTCGAACAGGTTGCGCGATTCAGTGCATCGGTATTGACGCTCAGTCTGAGGGGCTTCTCGGTTCATGTGACCTTGAGTAATCGAGATCTGAGGAGAAGAACATAGTGTACCGTCTTCATTTGTTGCAGGTAAATTCGTTGAGATCAAACTACAGTCTTCCTGGTATGCGCAAATCGTGCGAGGGAGGTTTCGAAGCTCAATCTGTCAGATCTGGCGACCAATAAAATCTCCTGAAGTCCAGCTGCACGCGCAGTCAGTCAGTCTCAACAGGAGATGCTCATACCCCGGTGTGTGTGTGTGTGTGTGTGTGTGGTCATTGAGGAAACAACAGAGCCATCATAAGCTTGCGCGAGGATGCGAGCAGACTGTCGCTGTTCATGGTCCTGAACTTCAGCTTCACACAACTCTGTAAAACACTGTAAAACAACAGCAACATTGTATTAAAAGATTATTATTTTACAATAAATTACTGTAGTTAGAGATTTATTTAGTTTGAGAAACCACAACAGAATGATGCTGACATCACAGTAATTTACTTCTCTTGTTTTATTGTGAATTTACATGATAAAGTTGTCTTTAACCATGCATGCCACTGTAATAAATGTATTCTTACCACTGTGATTGCTTTGAAGTCACCATAATGGGATTAGTGCTCCATTTGCTTGGGATTCCCTCTGCATTCATATTCATAATTCTGATCTAGCCAAGTCAGAGGTGTCACACATAAAACATTTGATAATATGATGATAAGATAGAGTAAAATATAGTCTAATTGGCTGATCAGTCAAACTATATTCTGTATTTTAGCATTATTTAAGCATGAAGACTTATTGTGTTATTTCAAAATGATAACTGTAGATGGGCAGTGAAGCACCGCACCTGAGATTCATCTTTGTAAAAAATTGATTTTTTTATGTTAAATACACACAAATGATTCAATTTATTTGGTCATCTTTATTTCCTTTACAAATACAAAAGCATCAGTTTTTTTTGCGGTTGGATCTTGATACTCTTGGGTGTAAATCTCCTCTTCATCTATCAGTGGTGGTGCCCTCTTGCTGTTGGCTGAGTAGAAGTCAAATGTTAATTTCATTAACCTAATTTGGAAACAGTACAGGTTGGATTAGAGAACATTTAATTATGTGAAAAGATCATTCAACTATGTGGACACAGTTGCTGCACATGGATTGAATTATGTTTTCATTTATTTTTGCCTGTGTGATACCACTAAACTGAGTATTAATTCAATAACTTACCATTCTGTCAGTTTTCGCCTGATGATATAACAGTGATTAAGAATTACACGTATAGACTCGGAAGTATGTAGACATCTTTTTATTGGATGTTGTTGCCATTGTGAATCATAATTTCAGAGCGCCATTGATCATGGCTTTTCATAGTTGTAGTGTACACACTTAACTCAGAGTCAATCAAAGTTGATTAAACCAAAATCTTTAGAGTTTCCCCACTCAGGGTAAGTTAAATTAAGTAATAAAATTGTAATTGTTTAATCCTCCTCTGCTGAGATCTTCGCAGATTAATTGTCTTCTTTTATCCTCAGTTGTAGTTCTTGTTTCTGCTCGTCTCTTCTCTCTTTTTTCAGTATAAACATGTAACGTCAGTTGATGGTATTGGACTTTTTTTTTCCATTAATGCTAAACGTTTCACACCCTCTGCTGCCATTAACCGTTAACCGTTTTTATTTGTAATGTTTTTTTTTTTTTTGGTTGTGAACCGCAGGTGTTATTTTGAATGATCAATCATCACTTAATCATTTAATTATCTCATTAACTGCTGCACTGCTTTACTTTCAGTTTGGCAAAATTCACCTGGACAGTTTAAACCTTTAAGACAACACGCAAAAACACAATCTTAAAGGATTAGTTCACTTTTGCTGATAATTTACTCGCCCCCATGTCATCCAAGATGTCCATGTCTTTCTTTCTTCAGTCGAAAAGAAATTTCATGAAACCTTTTCATGAAAAGGTTTTTGATGAAAACATTCCAGGTTTTTCTCCATATAATGGACTTCAATGGGAACCAAACGGTTCAAGTTCCAAAAGACAGTCAATAACAGTTTCAGATGCAGCTTCAAAAGTCTTTAAACGACACCAGACGATGAATAAGGGTCTTATCATGCGAAACGATCGCTTATTTCAAAACTTATTCCAAAAATGTAACTTTTCTAAGGACAAATGCTAGCCTTGCTCTATTCTGTGAGGCGCGTTTGTAACGTCACGTAATACGTAATTACGTTCAAAAGGTCACGGGCGACGTAGCCGGAAGTACAGAGTCACAAGTTGAACGCGCAAACTAACTCAAACGCCGTTTACTAAAAAAGTAATTAAAAGTTAAAACAACAATGTCGGACGATTTTGATTCTGTACTTCCGGATACGTCGCCCGTGACCTTTTGAACGTAATTACGTATTACGTGACGTTACAAACACTGCACTGCTGCTCCTGGGCTTCTTCAGCAGTATCCTCAGACAATCATTATATGCTACCTGCAGTTTGCGCATGGTCTCCTTTCTGTAGTTGACCCATAATGGGCCTGCATACAGTAAGCGTGAAACAAGTGCACTTTCACATCATCAGAGCAGTAGTGAAATTTCCTAACTAACATGTTCGCTTGCACATACAACATTCATCTTTGCCTATTCATGTCAGCATCATCTTCCATCTTGTCAGTAATGATATGCCCAAGATATTTTGTACAGTTTGATACACAGATACAGTGCCCAGACAGGTAAAACATAGGAAAGTGCAGCTTCTGATCTTCCTTAGTCCTACAAACCAAAACAACACTCTTCTTTGTATTGTACAAAGATACTTTTAAATAACTTAATTTGTGTTCCGAAGATGAACGAAGGGTTTGTGGGTTTGGAATGACATGAGGGTGAGGGGTTTTTCGGTCTGAATTAACCCTTTAAAGTCTTAATTATATATGTGTAATGGTTAAAGAAGGTAATTTGATTTGTGTTTTAAAAATGCACAAGATACATTTTCTTGAAATCAAATAACACTTTTTCTTGACTCATTTCATAAGTCGTAAGTTTTGAACAAAGGGAAAATGACTCGCAAACATTAACCCTTTTAAAATGTGCAAACATTGCAAAACAGCTTAAACATAAACTGCATTCAAAGTGCCAACAACAAACAGCATTTCAGACACAATGTGACTGCAGTTTAGCACCATCACAGACACAAAAAAGGGATCAATACTTGAACTTAGAGCCCATTTATTTCCTGGTCATATGCCGAATGGATGTATTCTGGTAGAGTTGATTCAAATTTGTGTGTCCCTGCCAAGGCGTTTGGGGGCATAAAGGTCGCTGGGGGTCAGGATGTAATGCTAATCTGGCCTCATTTTCTTGTGCATCATATAACATCATAAGGATGTTGCGACATAGTCTCATCTTGGTCAGTGGGTCTTTAATTCGCTTAATCTCAGTAACTACCTGTTTGGCAAATGTTTGATCAACATCCGTACTGGCATTTACCAGTGTTTCAGATACATTTTTTAAAATGGTTACTTTCTCCAATTCAAGTTCTTCTAATGATTTGTGTCGTAAAAAAAAAATATCCTCAAAGTACAAAATAAAATCTTTCAAGTACAAAACTAAATTCTACAAGTACGTCACGTGACTGAATCCGACTGCTCTGCCGGGTTTGGCATTGGATCAATAAAATAGACATTGCTTTCTGCAGCATTTATGTACTGTAACCACAAGAACATTTTCATTATTTTACACACACATTTTAACAGAAACAATGTGAATGTACATAAATATAAATTGTTAAATAAACAAACCAGAAACTTCCAGTGCAGTTCTCCAACATTAACAAACGATACAACAGCCTTGTATTCATCAAAGTTAACCTGTTGCACATAAAAATTATTTCAATAATATATCACAGAAATGACTTAAATATTTATTCACATTTGAATTATTATGAAACACATCCCCATTTGTATCTCTCCCAAACAGAAAAAAGATGTACTTTTGACAAACTTTGTCGTCTTACTTCTGTTCTGTCCCCATTGAGGATCACATCGGCTGTGTAATGGTTCATCATGTATATGGTTTTATCCAAATGCAGTTCATTAATAGAGTGATGTATGAGACACTCGATGATCTAACATGTTTAACATTCAAACCGATAGCATTTTAAGTGTATTTTGTCCATTTTAATGATAATGCTGCTGAACTGTTTGGCCTATATACCTCGCCTGTGAGCCATTTGTGAGGTTTAAGTGACCGGACTCACTCACTGTGGTGGACTATATAGCTGTTCCCTCTTATTTGAGAGGTAATCACAGATATGACCACTTCTGTGTCCTTTTTTTCCACAAGACTTTTATCTGAAGGTGAAGACGACAATACATTTATTTACTCTATCTATGTGTGCATGTATCTGACAATTACGGTTACATAAACAGCTAATGTGCTGTAATGTAATGTTGGATTTACTGTCATACAAACCTGAAAATTTTGATGTAAAAAGTAAAGGTTTATAGTTTAAATAAACTTATTTAAAAGTTTGAAAACTTTTAGAGGATTGTGCATCACATATATGTGAAACAATCACTTACTGATAATACATTTATTTTAATAACATCACCTGTGATGGAGCGTCATTGTTGGTACAGATGTTGTTACAGGTACTTCAGTCATTTTATATTCTAAAAAGAAATGCAAGACAAAATTAGACTGTAGAGGTGGCTGCAATTATAAAATGCTTGTGTATGTTGAGCATCATTACAGCTTTTAATAATTACCTTAAATGACAAGTCCATCACTAATGGTGAAACGTACACCCCTTTACGCTTCCGGCTTTTCTTCCAAATCTCCGTTTCCACTTTATAAGACTGGGAGAATATATATGTTGTCAAACACAAACCCACATAATTGCACATTTTCAAGATATCTGTTATCAAGCATATCATTTCTAAATTGTGATTAGGGTAAACTACGAAAGTTAAGTGCTTTCACTGAACTGACGTTAGCATACTTTCTTTCTGCATCTTTCCACATCTGCATACGTCATGCGTCTTTTTGGAGATGGTCACGAAGTCATCCAGTCTTTTCAACCTCCTCCTCTGGAAACAGATTTTCTTCAGGTCCCATTGACTTTTCTCCATTATCACTTGTGTCCAGTTGTCTTGAGTGAAGTTCTGAAAATGTAAGGTACACCTCTTATCTGCTCACAATTTGAGTCCAAAAATAAAGCTATGGTTTTGATGCACATTTCAGATGTTTTTTTTCAGCAATTTACCTGTTTTTTTGACTGTCTAACTTTGTTGTAGACCATACTCAGTTTCTTGTACACAGGGCTTGTCCCGTGATGTCCTAGACCCCCTAAAGAGCATTTAAAACTCGACAAATGCTGTTTTGAATAATCAGTTGACTTAACTCAAAGACTGAAACCTCCCTAGCATCACTCCAGACCAGAGGGTGTTGAAGAAAATATTTGGCCAAACTGGAAGTGAAAGTTGGTGCATAATTCCATCAAGGTCTAGCAATGCACCTGGAAATGTGTCATGAGGGGTGTGGTTCCAACATCAAGCTGAAAAGAAATATTCATAATCTCAGACAAATTTCAAATGTTCTGCCTGTCTAACCTGAATTGAGATGTGTATGTTCTGATGCATATGTGTTGAGTTTAGTTCATCAGATCTGGTCTGGGGTGCGTTTCCCGTACAATGACGTAGTTCACTATCGTTGGAAAAATCAACTAGCTAGTCGTGACT